GAGCAGAAACACGAGAGAATCATAACCAAAGCTAAAAACGTAACATCGAGAAGAGGCAAAAACGTCGTCTCTGACCTTAGAATGATCAATCGCCGGCGACGAGAAAAAGTCAGCGCGAGGAGCAGCAACCGTGGAGGCGGAGGTAGATCTGAGGAGAGAAGAGGAAGCCATTGATTTGCTACTGGAGATCTCGTCGGTCAAAAACCCTAGAAACCTTCGTTGGCTTCTCGGAGTAGGTGTAGAGCCAACGAAAACAAATAAACGTGAAGAATCCAAAATGTTCGCAGAATTATACTCCTATTTTAATAGTATCCAAAGAAATGAAATACTTTGGAATTGCACTCTTTTGGTCGACTCAACGGGTTTTTTTTTGGAATATATAAATGTGCAGAGCGACACTCTTGTTGCTATAAAATTGATGGGTCACGATCTGATGCGTCACGACCTATACTATAAGGATACAACTATGAATTAGTGCAAATATTTACAGTGAATTAATGCAATTACAGTAAGAAATATATATGGTTTATATGTTTTTTTCCATAAAATTAGTAGCTGATTCTTGCAGATTTAATAGTAGGGGGATATAGGAATTCATACAAATTTTAGATTATTGCATGTTGAAAGTTGAAACACACAAAAATGACGACAAAAATAAAAGAAACACACAAAAATGGTGGAAAAATTAATCAAGGGTTGAGATTTGGGCGTGGAACACAAAGACACGTGTAGTGGAATTAAGGCTTTAGGCCCATGAAAAGATCTTTTGTCGTTTTCGGCCACGTCGAACGGAACTGGGCCGGGGTTTAAGAAAGCCCATTCCAGGTGAAATTCAGCTTCTTAATGCTTTTTGTTCTTGTCAACTTTGTTATTGGTCACGTGAAACACACGCGAGGTTGTTCTCTCTGAAATTGAAACATTCCCAATATCAACCGTTGTCTCTGTAATGTGCTGAAGCGTGGTGTTCTTACAATCCGACGTATGGATTTTGCACATACGTATTGAAGCTATGGACATGCTCTATATCTTCCAGGAAGCAATCCCATTGTTTGAGAAGCTGGTCCACATATCTGTGAGCTTTAGTGATTGTTGGCATTGTCTAGTACCAGTTATATATACTAGAGAAATCTCCGAATCTAAAGACTCTCACCATCTTCGATGAGTTTCACTATTCAACGTGAGAAGATGAAGAGGACTTTGTTTGCCCTTGCCTGTCAGATTATTCTTTCCTGTTGTCATGTAATGTGAAGATCCTAGAGATAACTACATACGAAGGAACTATCGAAGGGTTGGAGCAATTGAAGCATTTCTTGGAGAAATTGTCATGTCTTGAGCGGGTGGTAATTTACGCTCAGGTGACAGATGAAGAAAAGCTGCAAGTCATGGCGGATCTGCTAAAGCTTCCCAGAGCTTCGTCCAAGTGCAAAATCAAGGTCAAGTTTTTGGTCATTACGATGGACCATAGTCTATGGTTAGTATGAGAGAACCAATCTTAAAGACAATGCTTTTGTTGACATAAGAACTGGTTTGATTTGTATCTTTCATATCTAAATATTGTTCTGATATAAAAAAACCAATGGCTCTTTGTATCATCAGAGATTTAGACATTTTAGAACAGGTTTTGGAAGGAAACCGAGAGATATAGGACACTTATGGTTTTATTTCAAAGAGATTTGACATCATCATACAGAACAAATCAGTGTACAATAACAAAAAAATATGGAACGCTTCGAGAACGACTCTAAAAATAAAGCATTTACGTATTACCATTTCTTCCTTTTGACCTGCTTACACTCGGTCTTGTCATTTTTCCTCAAGAGCTTCTGGTTCCAGAGATTCGTCTACTCTAATGTAATGTTAAGCTAAAGAGAGACGGGATCAAAACTCGGATTTCTCTTCTCGACAAACCCCGCCAACGAATCCTCATGTAAATAAACCTTTATGTATCATTTCATTACTTAAGGATCTATCGACCTGACCTTTCTACGTCTATGATGTCTCAAAAGTTTAAATCGAAGCATTGAGTCGACGTCATACCCTGCAAGTTCCATTCTGTGTGTAAGTTGAGAAACAATCTCCATTTTGTCTCTCGATTGCAAGAGGGAGCTTAGGAGGTAGTTGCAAACTCTAGGCATCAGCTTGAAGTTGTTATCTAGAGTGTATGAGAACACATCTATTGCTGCATCAAGTTGTTCTCTTTTGCAGAGTCCATGAATCAATTTGACACAGCTCGGAGGTGTGATGAGGATCTTCTTCTCTCTTAAAACCGAAAACACCATCAAGGCCTCTTGAAATCTACCGGATTGGCATAACCCGATCAGCCATATCGTGTAAGGTCCTAAACTGAACTCGTCTCTTCTGGTATCCAACTCGATTAGCCGTCTTAAAGCTCTCTCAGTTTCTCCTTCCTTGAAACATTGTTCAATCTCATTAGCTGCTTCATCGTCCAGACAAGATATCTTCTTCAGGTATTTCATCCATAGACTAAAAGCCACTACGATCTTTCTTTTCCGACATGACCATGTCATGAGCGATCTGTAAACCGCGGGACTGTGTCTAAAGTCATCTTTCGCGTAAAATAGTTTAAAAGCTTCTTCTCCTCTGCCAACTCTATGAAGTCCGTTGATGAGAGTGTTGTAAGTGACACTGTCAGGGGATAAACCCTTTAGTTGAAGCACATTGAGAAGCTTGAGAGCACCGTCAATGTTTCCCGCTTTGCAGAACCCGTTTATCAGAACATTATAAGTTACAATGTCTGGCGAATTCCCGGTATCAGCAAGATGTGCAAGATCCTTGTATGCCTTGAGAATCGAACCGGATTCAACCATGGTGTCAAAATTTCGATTTCCACTGTGCGAAAGCCTTAGAAACAAGGAAGCGGGTCTCCCAACCTCCATTTTATGCAACATTAACCTGGCTTCCTTGAGCTCACCGGACTTGCACAGTCCATCTATTAAAGCATTAAACGTAGCAACCGACGGAGAACAACCTTTCTTCTCAAGCTCCTTGAAAATTTCTTCAGCTTTCCTAACCAACCCATTCCTACACATACTACAAATGATAATTGTGTGTGTGTAGGCATCAGGGAAAGATTCTGATTCTGACATCTCGAGTTGGAGGGACCGAGCCTCTTGCAAAAGTCCCTGATCACATAAAGCCTTTATAATAGCATTGTAGCAGTAGGTATCTGGGTGAATGCCCTTACTCGACATACTGCTTAACAGCTTCAATACATCATCAATCTCCCCGGCTTTAGACAACCCTTGAATCAATATTGTGTACAAAACGACGTCAGGCTTAATATTCTTCTTCAGCATAATTGCATACAACTCAAATGCCTCGCTGTATCTCCTAGTTTTAAACAATCCATCAATTAAACTGCTATAACCTCGGAGACCAAGCACAAAACCATCCTTCTCAAACAGCCGCAACAGCTCAAATGCCTCAACCATTCTACCTAATTTACAAAACCCATCAAGCAAAGCATTGTGCGCGACGGAATCAGGAGAGTGACCGGTCGCTTTCATCTCGTCGAATAGCTTTCGCGCATCTTCAACGCTTCCCCTCTGACACAAACCTGAAATGAGAATCGTATAGGTAACTCTATTAGGAGAAATCCCTCTACCTGTCATATCGTCGAACATCTTCTGTGCATCACTCATTCTCCCTTTCTTATACAATCCATCCATCAAAATATCAAACGTGAATCGATTTGGGGCACAATTACACTTCAACATCTCATTGTACACAGCAAAAGCCAACATAAAAAAGACTTCTTCACGCATCATGAGCCGTAATATCAAGTTGTATGTGAACACATCAGGTCTGCAATCGAACTCTTTCATCTTTCCAAACGATTCCACTGCTTTTTCCGCCCTACCCATCTTAGCATAAGCCGAGATCAGAACGCGGAAACAATAAGAATCGACAGAGACACCACCAGATTTAAGCTCCTCCAATGTCTGCCAGTATAGATCGCACCCATTCTCTTCAGATAACATGTCGATGACCAAACCGAAAGACTCTCTGCTCCTGAGACGCTCTCTTCTCGATGCCCATATGAAGAAACGGAATACTAATAGTCGATTGACATGATCCTTGATTACCGATGTGATGATTTTCTTCGAGAGAAATGGAACAAGCGGCTCCAAAGCAGGCTCTATAGGTTTCCTCTTAGCTAGGATACTGATAACCTCGCCGGAGATATTGAATTCCGTGTTACCGGAAGAGTAGGAACGCTGCATCCATGACGGCTTTGAATAAAACTGAATGATTGATCGAAGGAGCATCTGCGATTTCATATTAAATGCGAAGCGGATGAGAAATCCAATCTCATTGTTCGAGAGTTCATAGATGCACAAATGAAGAACACCAAATGAGGATAAGCAAGTTGCAGGCAATTCTGCGCACAACTTCACTTCTCTTGGTCTTAGAGATTAGATGCAAGCGAGTACTCAGAGGGCTTCTCCGATTAGAGATGGGAGAGAGTGTCTGAGGAGGAAGACGGCTTTCTTTTGATCGTCAAGGGTTTTCTGCCATCGGAGCAAAAACACTGGATCGATATCAGCCGGTTTATGTGTAAACCGGTTTCGAGAATTAGTGAGACGTCCCGGTTTTGATACAGAATTAAACGGTATTATCATAATTAGAATACTAAAAACAATCTGTGAAAATACAAGCAGTAGTCGGACCAGTGAACCGGCATTAATCTTCAGCACTAAAACCAACCCGCTATGGATTCTATGTGTGGTGATAAATCCATCTAAATAAAATTACTGATTTTTAATAACCATGTGAGTTAATAATAACCGGTTTAAGTAAATCCAAAATAACACAAACAATTTAACTTTGGGGTTTAATGGAGCAAACTTCTTTAGAAATTTCTCCTCCAAAAACAGGTGTATGCCGTTTGATGTGGAGAGCACACGGTATTCTTTAGTAAAAGGCGAAAGAATAGTTCGCTTTGTGCTCACCACACGGCTCCATGAGTTCAACAATAGTTACTGTTTCATCCGATGTGGGACAAATTTAGTTGCATCCTTACTGGGCTGATATTACTCCTACGTTAATGGGCCGTTCCATCATTTAACAACTGATTCATCATTGTCCGACAATCATTCGCATAAAGGAGCGAACTATATTTTCAATTAAAAAAATCTATACCACACGCAAAGAAAACAAATTATTATTGAACTGAAGGTTTTTAATGGAGCAAACTTCGTATGAAGTTACTCCTCCAAAAATAGGTGTATGCCGTTTAATGTAGAGAGCACACGGTATTCTTTAGTAAAAGGCGAAAGAATAGTTCGCTCTGAACTCACTACACGGCTCCATGAATTGATCTGGAGAAGCATCGGATGTTTTTATACATGAATCCTTTGATATCTAGTTTTGCTTCTGTTCGATGTGGGATAAATTTAGTGATGTCTTTGCTGGGCCGAAAATTCCTCACTTGCTGGGCCGTTCTGATTTTCTTTCAATTGTGTTACCCACCTCGTTTCAAAATTTTCTGTTACCCACTTCGTATGATGTTTCTTTCGTTTCATTTTTCAAAATTTTCTGATAGACAAATCAAATACGTATCACATCATGTCTAAAATTGTTTCCTTTCATATTTCATTTTTCAAAGACAAAGATTGTTTCCTTTCATATTTTCCACAGGTTAATCGAATTATATGACCCAACGACTTTTAATTTCGTTTCAAATTGAACATAAGCAAATAGACGAATATTAATATCAAGATTGCTAATCAGAGTTTCATCTCTTCTTTTTATTGAAAAAGGCTCCAAACTAAAAAACTCCAAACAAAAAGAGCCGCAGGCAGAAATCTCAAGCTGACAAATAATGGCTTGCTCGTCTGATCATGAGAAAACCAGACGACTTGTTAATACATATGATAACAACACAAGAGAGATGAAATCCAACGGGAGGTTTCTTCTCAAGCGTCGTCAAGAGCAAGGACTCCTGGAAGTGGCTTTCCCTCGAGAAGCTCCAAACTAGCACCACCTCCGGTAGAGATGTGGCTCATCTTATCAGCCAAACCAACCTTCTCAACAGCAGCCACAGAGTCACCTCCTCCGATGATTGTCGTTACTCCCTTTCCGCTCAGTTCTGCAAGCTGCTTTGCTACGGCCTGATGGTGAACAAACAAGACGAGAGAGACTGGGTTAGTTCTGGTCCTGGCCTCTTGAGAAGAAACATATTGAAGGTGAGTGATGTATGTGATTTCAGTTAGCTCATACCTCAGTTCCAGCTGCAAACTTTTCGAACTCGAAAACTCCCATGGGACCATTCCAGATGATGGTTTTGGTTGAGTCTAGAGCATCACTGAATGTCTTGATGGAGTCTGGACCAATATCGAGACCCATCCAGCCATCAGGGATCGCCGTGGCTGGCACTATCTGCAGAAGAGTTCATAAACGTGTCATACATGATGCATTGAGATGACAATCAACCACACAATAAATGCAATTTTACCTTGCTGTTAGCATCGGGAGCGAACTTGTCTGCAATAACCACATCAGTTGGCAACAACAGAGAAACACCTTTCGCCTTTGCCTTCTCCATGAGCATCTTCGCCAAGTCTAGCTTGTCATCTTCCAGAAGGGAAGAACCAACAGAGTATCCTTGAGCCTTGTAGAAAGTGTAAATCATACCTCCACCGAGCAGGAGGATGTCAACAGTGTTCAAGAGTGACTCAATGACGCCAATCTTTGTCGAAACCTTTGAGCCCCCAACAATGGCTGCAAAAGGCTTCTTGGGGTTTGCCACGGCCCCGACAAGGTAATCAAGTTCCTAACACAATCACCAAGTAATTATCTGATCAGTAAAAAAAATGGTGTACGTACACTAATAAGACACTCTAGGAGTGTAGAAACCAGCATTTCCAATATTTACAAACCTTCTGCATGAGGAAACCAGCGACTGAAGGCTTCAAGTATTTGGCAACTCCCTCAGTGGAAGCATGAGCTCTATGAGCAGTTCCAAATGCATCGTTAACATAGACATCTGCAAGTGCAGCAAGCTTCTTTGCAAATTCAGGGTCGTTCTTCTCTTCTTCCTTGTAGAACCTCACGTTCTCCAATAGAAGAACACCACCTTCCGGTAGTCCTGCAACCAATTTCTGAACTTCCTCACCAATAGAGTCATTGGCCATCACAACCTATTAATACAAGAGAGAAAGTCGCAAACAGAGTGAGCACACGAGTAGTAAAGGCTGCTATTCAAAACACATGCAAGTATAGAGGAACAAGAGTAACAAACCTCGACACCAAGAAGTTCAGACAACCTCGGCACAAGAGGCTTTAAGCTGTATTTAGGGGTAACACCTTTCGGGCGGCCCTGAAACATAAAATTGAGATCAGAGACATCCAAATAGTTCCCACAAATTGAAATCAGAGATATCCAATACTTCTTAAGCCCTACGCAAAATTGATTCTTCATGAACTTAACCAAATAGCATCATCTGAGTGAGCACTAACAAAAGCAACACGCCACTACCAAGACGGAACATAACTTAATATCAGTGTTCCAACAGAAATTAGAACTTGACTAAAACAGATGCAGACAATGCTTGCATCCTAAATTGCAAGGAGATCAATCCTACTTATACAAATCATTCACACAAGACATACATAATCATACAAGAAAGCGAAGAGATCCGCATGTAAACCCAATCAGATAAACGATCCATGAAAACAGATCAGATCAAAATTTCCACACCACAATCACAACAGCTCAGCAAGTTCGTCAAGTGAGAACCGAGATAACATACCAAGTGACTGCAGAGAACAACCCTAGATCCGTTTTCCATCAAATACTTGATGGTAGGAACAGCAGCACGAATCCTAGTGTCATCGGTGATGTTAGAGTTGTCATCCAAAGGAACATTGAGATCAACCCTCACGAACACGCTCTTTCCTTTCAGATCTGCTTCCTTCAAAGTTCCAACGCTCCTCTTCGTCGCCATAGTAGATAGCTTGTGAGACTACACAAAACAACAAAATACACACCGCGAAAATCAGTTTGACGGAGAAATAATAAAAAAAAAACCGTGAAACAGATCTAGAAATTACACCGAAAAAGCAAATCGGAAAATCAATCGGAATCGATTACGAGAATCTGAAGAAGCTAAATTAGAGAATATACTCACTATGTGAAATAGAGACGATCGAAAGTTAACAGTAAGAAGAAGTGGATGATATATAAAAGAGTTGGTGGATGATCTTTCGAGAAGACGAGACAGTAGTATATGTATAAAAGCAGCGTGGAGAGCACCCCAAGAAGTGGGTCCCGTGACGAATAAGTATGTTATATTTACAATTTTGCCACTATCTCTCTCCTTGGGTTAAAAATGGAAACTTATAATTGGGCCTAAAGAGAGAGACTTTAATGGGCCTAGCTCAATTTTAGTTAATAGGGCAGTTTATCGTCATCTCTCTCAGTGACGGATCAGTGATTCAGTGTAGATAGATAAACCTCGTTACCGGAGAGAAGCGTTAGTCTCGCCGGAGAAACGAGTAAGACGAATGTTTGTTCTTCCGTAATTTGTGCTAAGAGAACTCTTGAACCTGGAGAATCCCCAAATGTGTGTTCCTTTGAGCTTTTAAATTTCTTTGTTCATGGAGATTGCAATTCTGTATAAGCCGAATCCGCTTATCTCTTCATCGCCGGAATTGCTTAAAAGACCTAAAATTTCTGGTCTTGTTCGGTTTCCCGCCAAGTATGGACTTGGAGTTACTCGGAAAAAACCTCTTTTTCGAGTCTATGCGTCTGAGAGTAGTAGTGGGTCGTCGTCTAATAACGATGGTGGGTTTTCGTGGGTGAGATTGGGGCAGTCTCTTCGCGTTGGTGTGGAGCGGATTGGGGAGAAGATTGGAGAGACTGTGAAGAAGGAAACTGGGTTTGATTCGGAAGAAGCAAATGCGAGAGTGGATGAGATTGTGGGTCGAGTTAAGGGTAGTGTGCAGAAGGGACAGGACGAGTTGACTCGGTTTAAGACTGAGACAGTGCCATCGTTTATTGATTGGAACCAGTGGGAGCATTGGAAGGTATGCTTTTTTAATCTCTGGTTCTGAAGTATTGCTAGACAGTGATTCTGTATGTGTTCAGAAACATTGAGGAACAAGTGGTTTCTATTTCTTTGTTTTGGTAATGAATTGAGGAACAAGTGGTTTCTATTTCTTTGCTTTGGTGATGAATTGAGGAACAAGTGCGATTAATCTAACAACATATACTAGAATTCGAGAAACTTGGTTCTTTTTGGGTAGTAAATGTGGTGTACTTAGGTAGTTTTGCATCTTTTTTATTACTAGTCGTAGTTTCGTAATGAGAGGTGTTATGTATCAGGACATCAGGAATTGGGATGGTAGACGAGTTGCTGCCTTGGTCATATATGCTTTTGCGGTGTTATTTTCTTGTCAAAGAGTAAATGTTGCTATCCAAGCGCCTCGGATAGAACGAGAAAGAAGAGAGTTAACGGAGTCTTTTATGGAGGCTTTGATCCCCGAGCCGTCTCCTAACAATATAGAAAAGTAAGTGCTTCCTAATCCTCAGTTTCCAAATGTAATTTATTTGGTTCATATATCAACAATGGTATTATGGTATCATCCTTAAACAAGTAGATGCTCAGCTATGGGGGCATCAAGAGTGGGAAGAATACAGCGTGTTGTGTTTAGTTGACTTGCGAGTATTTCCTAATTTTGTTTAGCGTTTCAGGTTTAAGAAAAATATGTGGAGGAAGACAACACCTAAAGGCTTGAAACTAAAACGGTTCATTGAAGCGCCTGATGGAACTCTTGTCCACGATAGTACTTATGTTGGAGAAAATGCATGGGATGATGATCTAGAGACAACAGAGGGATCTCTCAAACAAATAATTGATAGAAATGCTAGGATTCAGACAGAAGCAAAGAAGAAATTAAGCCAAGATCTGGGTGTCTCTGGTCAGTCCATATACATTTATATGGAGACATTTGATTTGCATTAAATATTGTTTGCTTCGTTGCAACTTTTTTATAATATAGTAGCTTTGTTATTAATTTCATCATCTCTGTTTCTTGAATATCTATATGATGAAACCCGAGATAGAGTAGCATTGATAACCTTTTCGTTTGACCACCTAATCTCTTTATTGCATCCTTCTATGATAGGTGAAATCGGAGACAGTGTTGGTACTTGGCGGGAAAGGCTTGCAACTTGGAAGGAAATGTTGGAAAGGGAAAAGGTTTCAGAGCAGTTAAACTCTTCAATGGCTAAGTATGTTGTTGAATTTGATATGAAAGAGGTAGAGAAAAGTCTTCGCAAAGATGTAATTGAAAGGTCATCTGAAACCGAGGGAACTAGAGCTCTCTGGATATCAAAGAGATGGTGGCGATATCGCCCTAAGCTTCCTTATACCTACTTTCTTCAGAAGCTTGATTCTTCTGAGGTACAGCTCTAACCTCTACTCTTATTTGGCTTTGGAATTGTAATGGGTATCTGTCATTATATCCTGTTGAATTTTCTTAACTGAGAACATATTGATGACGGTGTATTCATTGAGGAATAGAATATGATGAATAATTTCCTTTTTAGAAAGCAATTATTTTGAATTTGGACGTGATATGATAATAAATATCTTTTGACTTCTTCGTTCTTAAGCTTGTTGATGCGATATCCATTGTGTGTGTTTTTAACAGGTTGCAGCTGTTGTCTTCACGGAAGACCTAAAAAGACTGTATGTGACAATGAAAGAAGGTTTCCCTCTTGAATATATTGTAAGTAAAGAATTCAGAGTTGCAAGTATTGAAACTGAATGATGTACACTTACTATTATGTATCCTTTTTCTTTCTAGGTTGACATTCCCTTAGATCCTTACTTGTTTGAAAATATCTCTAACTCCGGAGTTGAGGTGGATCTCCTTCAGATGAGGCAGATCCACTACTTCATGAAAGTGTTCATTGCACTTCTGCCGGGGATACTAATTCTATGGTTTATAAGAGAATCTGCGATGCTTCTCCTCATCACATCCAAGCGGTTTCTTTACAAGAAGTATAATCAGCTGTTTGATATGGCTTATGCAGAAAATTTTATATTGGTAATCTTCATTCACTAGAACAGTAACCTTTTTGCTTCTTGGTTTTATGACCTTTAAACATGTTCACACTTCTATTGATAAGTTTTAATTTTCATCCAGCCGGTTGGAGATGTTAGTGAGACAAAATCGATGTATAAGGAAGTTGTACTAGGTGGTGATGTTTGGGATCTTCTTGATGAGCTAATGATCTACATGGGAAACCCAATGCAATACTATGAAAAAGATGTGCCCTTTGTCAGGGTATAATACATCTTGACCCAAACTGACATGTGAATAATAGTTCATCCCATAATCTGACTATGCTTACATTCTCTATGTTTGTTTCTGAATCAGGGTGTGCTTCTTTCTGGACCTCCTGGGACAGGGAAAACACTTTTTGCACGTACACTTGCCAAGGAAAGTGGGCTACCATTTGTGTTTGCATCTGGTGCGGAGTTCACAGACAGTGAAAAAAGTGGTGCTGCAAAGATCAATGAGATGTTTTCAGTCGCGAGACGAAATGTAAGCGTTCTTAGTTATGTGTAGAAAAGCTCGTTGCTGTATAGTTGTCTTCTTCTCACACTATTATTGTCGATCTGATTTTATATATTATCTCCAGGCACCTGCTTTTGTGTTTGTGGATGAAATAGATGCTATTGCTGGTAGGCATGCTAGGAAAGATCCACGAAGAAGAGCAACTTTTGAAGCTTTAATTGCACAGCTTGATGGGGAGTAAGAGTCTTCACTTGTTCAGAAACTTTAATGAGATATATTTTTTGTTTATCAATATTCCTCTTGACATTTATTCTTTGGTAGTTTGGTTCCTCCCCGCTTTCTAAGATCTTCACGGTGTTAGTATGAAGGTTCTTATACATTTAAATTGTACCATCTTGCAGTAAGGAAAAGACAGGTATCGATAGGTTTTCTCTGAGACAAGCTGTGATATTTATCTGTGCTACCAATAGACCTGATGAACTCGACCTGGAGTTTGTCCGTTCTGGACGCATTGACCGTCGACTCTATATTGGTTTGCCTGATGCAAAGCAAAGAGTGCAAATCTTTGGAGTTCACAGCGCCGGGAAGAACCTTGCTGAAGATATAGATTTTGGGAAGGCAAGTAGTTTCCTGCTATTTGATAATCTCGATAGTATGTCTGAGATAGGTGTTTGCTCGCTCATAACTATTCTTCTCCTTTTCTACATTCAGCTTGTTTTTCGGACAGTTGGCTTTTCTGGAGCAGATATCCGGAATCTTGTTAATGAAGCAGCTATAATGTCGGTATGTAATTAACTTACAACTGGATCTCACCTTCCCATCAGAATTATGCAATAGTTAGAGAAGCATCCTTGATTATTTCTAACTCGATTTTACAGGTTAGGAAGGGGCGGTCATATATATATCAGCAAGATATTGTTGATGTGTTAGATAAACAATTGCTTGAGGGTATGGGTGTGCTCCTTACAGAGGAGGAACAACAGAAATGTGAACAAAGTGTTCGTACCGATGTCCTTTGTACTATTTATCTCAAAACCATACATACTATTATGCCACAGATCTAAAAAGCCCTTACCATTGAAGCTAATGTGACATTAGGTATCTTACGAAAAGAAGAGACTTCTGGCTGTTCATGAGGCGGGTCATATAGTGTTGGCTCATTTGTTTCCGCGATTTGACTGGCATGCGTTTTCTCAGCTCCTTCCTGGTGGCAAGGTACGTTTCAAAATTCTTGTTCAGTTATAACAATATTGTTGTTTGTATAGTCCATACAGTAAAGTGAATTTTTACTGAAAAATCCGTCTCTTGAATTTTACAGGAAACTGCTGTATCGGTTTTCTATCCACGTGAAGACATGGTGGACCAAGGTTACACAACATTTGGTTATATGAAGATGCAAATGGTGGTAGCTCATGGTGGACGGTGTGCCGAACGTGTGGTTTTTGGGGATGATGTCACGGATGGTGGAAAAGATGATTTGGAAAAGATAACAAAAGTAAGCTCAGTCTATCTCTTGCTCTCTTTGTCTGGTCTAACTTATTATTGTGCCTTACAAATATAATATCTATGTAACTGCATAGTCTTTCATTTTGAGTATGAATCTGTAAATATATTTTCAGATTGCTAGAGAAATGGTGATTAGCCCCCAAAATGCGAAATTAGGTCTCACTCAACTGGTAAAAAAGCTTGGAATGGTGGATTTACCGGATAACCCTGACGGCGAGCTGATAAAATACCGGGTATATCTATTTATCACAGACTGTTACTTTCCAATTTGCATTGATCTCTCACCATTCTCAGTAGCTCATACCGTTTTATTCTGCTTGATGATGAATATCAGTGGGACCATCCTCATGTAATGCCAGCAGATATGTCTATTGAAGTATCCGAGCTATTCACCCGCGAGTTAACAAGGGTAATCTTTATTTGACTCTGAATTCCTAATCTTTATTAAACTCTCTTATGTGGATAAAAGCGTGAAACATATATATGGGATTTTGAATGTTGGTGACAGTATATTGAGGAGACTGAAGAGCTCGCGATGAATGCTCTGAGAACAAACAGGCACATTCTGGACTTGATCACAAGAGAGTTACTCGAACGGTCAAGGATTACTGGATTGGTATGGTTTCTGAAACTTCATTGACTTTGTTATCTTATCTACTTATATGAACAAACAACCTCAGACTAAGAAGTTTTCTTTTCATCTCGTAGGAAGTTGAAGGCAAAATGAAGGATCTTTCTCCTTTGATGTTTGAGGATTTTGTGAAGCCGTTCCAAATAGACGCAGATGAGGTACGTAGTTTATTAGATTTCATCTTCTTATCCCATTTTAAGTCTAGAAGTGTAAACCCACTATTGATAACTTTTCAGGAGGAACCTTTGCCTCACAAGGATCGAGTTAGCTATCAGCCAATTGATTTACGTCCTGCACCACTACACAGAAGCTAGAAGCCTTTACTCTTCTCCAGTAAAGGAAAAAAGGATAGTCCTTAGAGGCAAATTGTTCCCAATATCTTCGAGAGGGAATGTTCATCTTGAAAGAGCTTTGGATTTTGCAGGTGATAGTACTTGTTTCACCCATCATTGGTTTAGAATCTTATACATATATATAACATTCACAGTCTGACTTTTGTACTCTGTTTCTGTCGGTACTTTGATGATATTGATTTTGTACTCTGTTTCTGTCTGTATTTTGATGATAATGTAACATCATTATTAGTTGTTAGTAAGCCACAGCTACTCTAGACAAGAGAGACACAGTGATGAACAAAGGGAAACACCACTGAGCACTAGAGAGTCCATTTGAAAAAAAGTAAAAATATGTTGAA